CAAACCTAAAGCTAAAAGTAGCCAAAGGCTAGCCCGCGGAGGGTGAGAAGGGAATTTTTTTTTTAATATATATATATACAGTATATACACATTTTTTTATTAATAATTTAGACATAAAAACATTTCATAAGTTGTCTAAAACCTTATAGTGTGACAGGACCTTAAATCCAAAGGTAACAAAAAGCTAGCTAGGGGTAGCAAAATACTTTCTTGAAGCTAAAAGTTTCAAACCTAAAGCTAAAAGTAGCCAAAGGCTAGCCAAAAGCTGTAAAGAAAATATATAACGTGTATATGAAAGCAGATTTCAAGGAACAACATGTTTTGATGGTAATAAAGATCTGTCTGTTTTTATGTGGAATTTWTTTGAAAATAAAGTTCTGTTTTTTGAGTTATATAATAAATTGTTCAACAAAGTATGCAAAATTAGAAAATAACTGTGTAAATGTGCTGGTGTTCATGCAGGAATTGCAGCTATTGGCCGTATCAACGAGGCGCTGGATGAAGGGGACCCCATGAAGACCCTGGAAATGCTGCAGAACCCTGCAGCCAAGCTGACAGACGTGGACCCCCCTGTGGCTCAGCACTACCAYGACATCCTGCTGGAGACGCGCAGAGAGAAGGCTCATGTAAGACGSAACGTTTTCTCTCAGATACAAAATCGCTCTTTCCTTATTGTGCTGCAGAAAACAAGATGTAGAATATTCCTTTAGTTTTAACCTCTTTACACTGACTCATGAATGGTTAAAGAATAAAACAGGCTCCTACACAAACCAAGCAGTGYTGTGTTGACGTAAGACATTTTGGCACAAAAACAATTTAAAATTGGATCTTTAGGCTCTTTGTTAGTAGCAGCCTGTCACAAGGACAAGTTTTCTTTAGTTAAATCTGAGGAAACTCTCAAAGTAAACACAGTTAGACAGAAAGACAACTTTAGCTCCAACAATCAAAACTTGACTTACATCTACAGTATAATGAGTCACATCCTGTTTCAGGAGTTACTTTTTTAAAAAACATGGCATTCAGACCCTGCTACAGCTACCTTATTTTAGAGCTGGTGTTTTTTTTCACTCACCMTGTCCACTTTAAGATCATACAGCACTATTATGTCAGTGTTTCCAAATTCAGGGGCTGGGTCCTCTGAAAGAAAAAWTTGTCGGCCGCTTACGTCACAGCRCTGCACCAGAGGCTGTCCAAGTTGGAACATGATGCGGCCGACAAATGTGTCCTTGTTTTTCCCCGGTTTGAGGGACAGGTCTGACGGTCTGCCCGTCATGTCCCATAATGCATTGCGGGCCGACCGAAGACTTTTTTTTTTCTGCTTGTAATGGCAGATGAAGCAAGAGACAGGAGAACGGTTTAAATAAAAGTTTGGCGGTATAAAAATTAAATGTTTAAAGCAGTTGTGTTGTGTTAATGTTTTTGTAATTTGTATAGACATGTTCTTAATATTATTCTTGTCAGAAATCAAACGAGCTGRTTTAGAGAAATAAACCTACAGCAGATCCCTTAATTCTTCTTCAAATWTTGCCTTTAAGCTAATTTTGTTTTATGATATTTATGAAACTAATATATTGAAATTTTGCGGTGGACCAAGAGCCTGTCCCACCTGGACCRGTTCCTTCAAAGAACCCAGCCCCTGAATTTGGACACAGCTCATATGCATATATAGTTTTCATTTTATAGTCTTGCCAAATATGTTTTCCGCTTCTAAAACTGTCCCCTTATTGTTTTTGTAAAAGCAACTACAAAAGCATCAACCAGATTTTTTATTAACAGGCTGCATCTAACACATCTAAAAGATCTAAAGTCGTTGTTGTATTCTTCTTTTTTGCTGTTTATCTTCTTTCACTGTGYTGTGACTGYTGGAAACTAGTTGGTGACTCAGAAAAAAAGGCAAAGTTTGTTTTGGAGTCTGACAGAAATCTGAGTGTGGGTGACCGTGTGTCGAGCGAGCCCTGTGGACACGCTTTGCACAGCCAGTTTTTTTGTCTTATCCACCCAAACACACACACCCGCTTCAGTAGATTTTTACACTGAAGAAAAGTAGACTTAGACTAGTTTTTCAGTTATTTTGTTCATCGGTGTGGACCTGGACATGATGTTTTGTATCATCATCCTATGATGCTTTTAAACTACAGCTTAACTTTGAGGCAAATGTTGTAGCACATATTTTGTTTTGAACATTTTCAAAATTCAAATGATTAATCTCAACCTCTCCAATAGAACTGATTCTCTCTTTGAGTTTAGGAGGATTATGAACATGTCATTGATTTACAGATCAATGTTAAGTGACATAAAGAAAAAGTGGTCAAGGTTAAAGACTAGACCAGGGTTGGGCAATACTTGTCATCGAGGGCCACTATCCTGAGTGTTTTCTTTCTGCTGCGACACACCTGATTCAGTCATTGAATCACCTCTTAGCTTCTGCAGAAGCCTGTTAATTACCCATCCTTTTAAATCAGGTGTGTTGGAGCAGAGAAACAAGTAAAACATGCAGGATTRTGSYCTTTGAGGACCAAGATTTCCCACCCCTGGACCAGACTTAAATTATGAAAAAAGCACCCACTGTCCAAAGAAAAGCTTGAGAGAATGCCATTAGAACTATTGTTCWAGTCTACTTTAAAAATCAGAAGAAAGTTTGCTTTTATGAAACTAGACCCAAAAGAAACAGGGAGACTTAAGACTKTTGCACAGTTSTATGTAAGTTCAGGTTACTTGCAGGGTTAGAGGATTACTTTGGTTGTGAACTTCAGTTTGTTGTCTTGTGTCTGCTCTGGCAGTGAGYGGCTCAGAGCACAGGTACGTGCAGACGTTAGTCAGCTGTTTTTGCTGCTGATTACACCTGAAGTTTTTCAGACCTCATGTTTGYTGTTTAGCTGCCGTACACACGTCATGGGTGAACAAGGTGAAGCTGGAAGAGTGCTGGAGTTATTATTTTTTTATTCCAACAGTAATCTGCTGATGAAGGTCTTTAATATCATCTTATGGCTTCAAACTACTTGAGAGCTGAACAAAGTAGATTTGATAGATGATTCTTGCAGATAAAACAAAGTGTTGGAGTTTGAGAATGTTTATGGTTCAGTTCTTTGTTCTCATCATGTTGTACCACAAACATACAGAACCACCAACATAATGAAGTGTTTTTGTTCATATTCTCTGTGAGCGAAGCTGCAAAGGAAGTTGCAGAAGCCTGCATGTGTCTCAGGCTTCCAGCAGACACTGATGTCATGGTGTCCCCCCTCCCCCTGCTTCCTGTTGAACATCTGGATGGGTCGCTCTCAGAGGCCTGATGTCTCTGCTGTCTGTCCTCCTCACTTTCAGACTTTGAACCTAGACACACATGAAACCCCACCTTTCTGCGTCCTGCTCTCTGACTCATTTGCCTGAGTTATCGTTCGGTGATGTGTGGTTCTGGTGTGTGAGCRTTTGCATATGACGTTATGAGCAGAGCACCATATTTGGGCCATTTTCTTGATGGAAGAGAAGCAACGAGCCAAGCWGCAGATAAGAGGGCAGCTGCTGGTTTAAAGCTTTACTGCAGAGCAGAAAATACCAACCAGACATGACCTGGAAGGAATTACTCACTGTCTGAGCTCAGTGCTTTCCTTCTAGTTTCATTAGAAATGATACATGTCAACACAAAATCTGCTTTTCTGTAAAAATCAGACCCGTCACATCGAAACTAGAATTAAGTCTCAAATTGGGAAGTAGAGAAACAGGAATATATTGTGTTTTGATTAAAACGTTTACAAGAATTGGACAAGTCTGCACAGTAGATCTGTCTGTTGACCAATAGGAGAGGAGCTGACCCAGGAAGCTCCGCCTGCCTATTTTGCATAATAAGGCAGAAATCAGTGTTGTATGAATTACCACAGAGTGATACTTGAGTAAAAGTACAAGTATCTTACCAAAAAATTACTTTGGTAAAAGTTTAAGTTTCTTTTAGTAATATTACTTGAGTAAAAGTCTTAAAGTATCTTACCAAAAAATTACTTTGGTAAAAGTTTA